CATGCACAATGACATTTCAGGAGAAAGTCTGATTTCTGACAGCTTGGCAATGCTGTCTGGTTTGCTCATGCGCTCGTCTCTCACACACACACCCCAAAAACCAAATAGGGCCAAAGAAATCTTTCCTACTCGTTTTTTCCTGGCACTGGGTCCTCCCTGACAATTTTTCCAGTTACTACTCCCAGCCTGGGTTCACTGACCATACCCCGCTCATCCCCTGGATTTAGTTGCCTGACTCGTGTGGGGCAGCCATATAGGACACATATACATTCCTTTGGCTGGTTCTTGGCTGGAAAACCAAGGACTGTGTGTATGGCCAATCTGGCAGGGCTGGAAGGCAGAGGCACACAGAGTACTTTGCCATTTCTGTTCCTCGTCATCATGAATTTAGTGACTTTTCAAACTGCGTGCTACTCCAGGAGGGAAACTGCACAGACCGAAGCTGATCTCTCTGCCGAGAGCTCCCGCAGCCAGGTGGCAAGAGGGCAGATGGTCCACAGTGCCCAGGCCCCTCCCCACCCTCCACCATCCACAGCCAGCTGGCTACGCAGGAGAAACTGGGTTTTCCCAGCCCTGGACCACATAGTCCCAAGCGCTGCTCCCCACCTCACCTCCCCAGAGCCTGAGTCACCCAAGAGAGGCTAAGGAGGGCTTCCTGGAGGACAATCCGCTGCCTCTCCTCTCCTCCTCCCTAGACAGGAACCCGCCTTCCCAAATTCACTGCTCCTCTCGCCCCCCCCTTCTCAACCTGGGCAACCCTGCCAGCTCCGTGGTCCGTGCCAACTGAGGGCCCGGCCCTCCTGCCCCCATGGCGAGGGAGCCTGAGCCTCTCCTTCCTCGCACACGCCCAGCCAGCCCCAGATACTGCCAAGCTTCCCTGCTGCCCTGCCAGACTCTGCCAGCCTAAAGGGGGTCCCCTCCTCTCCTCGCCCCAAGCAAAGCCAAAACCAAACCAAACCAATATTTTTGGAGTCCTCGCGCGTCCCACCTCCTCCCAACGCCAGTACCTACACGATTCCCAGAGCCACTCTCTCCTTCCTCCCCACTCGGGGTCATCCAGGCCCGGCCCGGCCCGGCCACCACACCCCCCACCCAGAGGTCCCGGGCTGTGGACGCTGCCCCCGCACGTCTGGCGTCCCGGACCCCCGACAGGGGCTCTCTCGCCCTTTCCGGAAAAGCCCCGAGGCAGCTTCCCGGCCAGGGCGAGGGGGTCCCCCGGTCGTCGGGCTCTGCCCATCCCGGTTCCCGGAAAGCCCCGAAGCACGGCCCCCCTTTCCCCCCCCCCCCGCCCCCCCCCCAGCCCGCGGGCCCCGCCTCTCCGCGGCCTCGGCCTCCGAGACCCCCGCGGGGCACAAGGTGCCGGGCCGCGGGCGGGGCGGCGGCAGGGGCGGGGGCGGGGGCGGCGCCCCTCCCCCAGCCCCACTCACGATGGTGACGCTGGCCTTGCGCAGGTCCCGGTTCTCCTCCTGCAGCGCCTTGCACTTGAGCTTGTACGTCTCCAGCTCGATCTTGAGCACCTTGTTCTCCTGCTGCAGCGACGCCAGCCGGTTGGTGAGCTCCTCCAGGCGGAACGGCGAGATGACAATGCCGCCCGGCT